TCATAATTATTGCTAAACAATCAGATACATGCATCCTGTACATAAAACTTATTATATTTTTATTTCAACTTGTACAAGCCAGTGCCATTTACATTCAAACTTTAAATACCCAATAATCTGTACATAAAACACTATGGTTGCAGTTTTTATTTAATTGCATGCTATGCAAAGTAACTCCCTGAGGCGCCACAATTCTGGCTGACCTCGAAGAAGGAGTATGAGGAGGGCTCCAGTAATGCTTATCCCAGAGGGCATCGGACAAGATTTTTCGGTGATATATAGCAAATGGTTTCAACAAAATAGTCAATACGTAATATGTAATATGACATAACAAAATCTGCCTAAGTATGACATAACAATATCTGTCTAGAAAGTATGAACATATAACATATGCATTTATGCCATTACGATACAACAGATGTATCGCCAAACGAGAGCGTATTTTCGGTTTATTCACATGGTCCGTGATGGTCAGGCTTAAACCAAGGCTGGTGGCAGATCTGCGCCGGATTTACTGGGAGACGAATGTGTAGGAGGAACATTAAAACAGTATCATGAGCGAACGCTTCGATCCCGGCGGAGGGCCAATACGACAAGGTACAAGCACAAGCACAGTTACGGAACATGATATATGTCCAAAGCCCACTACTATGCACCATTACAAAAACAGCACCACGGTCAATCTGCATGTGGTGGTCAAAGTACTGCGGAAATTCCGGCGCCATTGCAGAAATCTCGCGTGTTACAGCTGCACATGGTCGTTCTGATGCCTTGGATATCTGAGAACCAGGCAGCAGTGTTAAGCATGACCTGTGTCAAGAACTTACTAGAGGTAGAGGACTGGGAAGCGACTCTGCAACGGTCGACTACGTCATCACTGTCGCATACATAATGCACTGGTGTGCTATTGCTTACCATAGACCCACAGATTTTATTGTCCCTTTTTAAAGATATTCTCAGTTCCTTTCTCCTCTGAAGCTTTCTGATATTTTTAACAGATCATATTGAATTTAGAAACCCAAACATGAGGGTTTAGAAATAGAAGAGAAAAGAAATATGCTGAGAAAACTGACAAAAACCGTAAAAAACGCGCATCTGTCACCATGGCAGCCGCCCTCCCGTGTATGCGAGAGTGATGACGTCAAACGGTAGGTTACCAGTCCTCCTCAGTCCTCACACTATAGTAAGTACTTGCCTGTGTATATGCACGAGTAGTTCACAAAATTATATTTTACATTGAAATGAAAATTCGCGAACGTCGAATGCGGCTGTACCATCGCCGTGTAAGATGTCTATTTACTCAGTAGATTAAAACGAATACAGTTTGAAGGCACCAACTTCAAACAAACGAAGAAAAAAATTCAATTGCACATAAATTTATCTGAACTGAATTAACAGCCGTCCATGGATGGCGATGACTGCAAATATTTGAGCGTAGTGCAGTGGCACTCGTGGCGTGGCTAACAATGTAAAGCGCTTTCGTCACTGATTCCTTTACGTCTCATTTGCAAGAAAACGGTTCAAGCTTTTTTAAAAATGTCAAGTACTCTGTAAAGGGTACATCCTGTTTAATCGAAAGAGGAAAAAATCTGAAAGAAAACCGGTTTGTGGAAAATGTGATTTCGGGTGTTTCACTTAAACGACCATCGCCCATTCACTTACCATAGTGTTTCACCTAAGGGGACCACTATGAGATGACTTTTCGTTTAATATGTTTCAAATTTTAACATCAGCTTGTAGGGAATTTTTCGGGCTTTCAGAGAGTGTGTTCCAATACGATATAGTAAACTATGATCATAAGTTATTAGTAAAAAAACAAGACCGGGTCAACAGCGGCATAGTAAGTAAATGCAGTGATGTTATCGGCTAGCCATGGCCAGCCACATGGCAGATATGCCGCAGAAGATCTCAGACAGAACACCTGATGTTGTCCTGTGGCCGGAGCAAACACATTCTTCCCTCTCCAGCTATGTCCTGTCTGGTGATCTCTTTCTGCAAGCGCGGTCATGGGTATCCGGCTCTGGCACACATTGCTGCCGGTCAGTCAACAAGCACACCATTCAGCTGACGTTTTCCAAAAACTAGTTAAAGGGCTTTAAAAATCGATAACTTCATTGTAAAACTTGCTACACTTTCCAAATGGGCATCAGATAATGTGTTATTTTCTAGAAAGCTTATATACCGACACTCCGCTGTAGTCCAACAAAGCATGTTTGAATAAACTCCAAAAAACACTTTTCAAAGAGTGTTTGTCTCAGTTTTTTTTGGATACTAACAACATTTTTTATTAACATGTTGGAGAATATAAGCTTTCCAGGGTAAAACACATCCAATGATGTGTATTGCATTTCATTCGAAAAAACTTTCTCATTCAACATTTGGTTCCAAAGTTTTTTCTTTGTTTCTTGAATAGCTCTGTCTAGAGAGAGCGCAGACAAGATCGCAGCACACCATTGTGTAGCCAAACCTTTTGCGCATGCAGTCAGAACAATGGCAACAGTGTTCTTTCAGTTGTTTCAAACTTATTCGTGTTTTCCCAGACCCACTTTCATCTCATAGCCCTCCCCTTAAACGACCATACGGGTAGTACTTTTACAGTTTTTTACGATCGATAAAGTGCGCACTTTCACGATTCCGCCGGAGTGTGCACTTTGACGATCGATACAATTGCACCACAGATGGTACGTATAATTAATTATTCGATGAATCGAGTAATTTAAATTACAGATACAGTTTATTACGTACATACGACCGCACACGTGGTCTTGGGGAAACGGCCAGTAATTGGCCCAGGTTAAACCTTAATTTTAGAGAAGAGCAAAGCAAAAAAAATAAGCATCGACTATCGAGTACCGGATATACTAACAACTGAGAATTAATGGAAACGAAAGTAACTTGCCTAAAGACTAGCTGAATACTGTATGAAAATTAATTATAACCGTAAATATCAACCACCAGACGTGTCTGAGGGGCGCTGTCCATTTTGATGAACCGATTACTACTGGATTGATTGGTAGTTTAATTAGGATCCACCGACTAGCCGAACATCGTTTCAAACCGTCGGTCGAACTGGCCCGCAACCGTTTCCACAACAAGTCCAGTGCGGTAGGCAAGGATAAATGCTACTACTTTTTCAAAACTTCTATCTAATTTTTTTACGAATAAAATTAATTTAAACCCATCCAACTTGCGCACGCGGCGCAGAACAAAACTGACGGATGTCGATGATCGCCTGCCGTGGTCAATGAAGTTCAAAGAGATTGTCATGTACTAGAGTAATTGTCAACGGCACAAGAATGCGCGACTGTGGACCACCCAAACTGGATGCCGAGCCGAGGCATGCCGATGAGTGGAGGCCTGGAGGGTACAAACGCGTGTGGAATGTTGCGCATATGGACGGACCTTTACAGCGGCTTTTTGGGAGTAATCTATGGGTGAAACCTAGTAAAGTCGGATTTGAAAATGTTGGGAAAAAAGTTTTGAAGCGGTAGCAGCAACGGATTGGTTGAGCAACGCCAAAAACACCGCGAATACCGAGTATAAGTTGGCTCCGTAGAGATTTCGAAGAAAACATTCTGAGGATAGGCACTGACGAAACATTACAAATGTACGCACCTTCGTACAGAACACTTGCCATTAAACTAGTGGCAGGGAATGATCGCCCCAACGGTGGCTATCTTGTTCGCGATGGTCGGCAGACCTACCGCCTCTATCGGGGCTCAAACTTCGAGAAGTAAAATCCAAAAACTCTCGTGCGAAGTCCTAATCGGACTACTTAAAAACAAAGAAATGGTAACCCAAGAGATTAATAAGGCCCAGTAATCTGATTGTGGCTTGAACCACATACCAGGCTCAGAGCTTTGAGTGGTTTGGGGACGCCAATTGTCTGCTTCTGTGTCGCAATTACGCATTTTGCGGATAATCCATCGTAAAGCGACAATGCCGCATCACGCTACGGTTCTTGTAATTCTTCGATAATACTCGTACTAATACTGGTCTAGAGTTGTTCACCGCTCCTGAGACGGGCTTGTAGGTCGCTCTTACAGCCGTTTTTTGTGCGCAATCCATGGGCGAGAGTTTTTTGTAAGAAAAAAAAGGCGAAGCTAAACATGACATCTACGAGCAGTGACGACGGCTAATAGCGGCTCAGCTAACAGTTTAATTACTGACAGACGACAGTTAACATTTAACAAAATTTAACAAACTTCACAAGTCAGTCCGCATACAGTGCGATCGAGATGTGAAAGTGTGCATACTTGTAAAATTTCATCAGTTCGGTGAGATGTGACGGTCTTGCAGTTAAGTACTCGTACAAATTTACACAAAATTTACAACCCTTGCCTTAACATACTGTAGCGATAGTATTTGTACGAACTACGAACGATAAGATCGCCCCGTTATGATTCATCTTCCATCGCGTTATGAATTTGTCCACTTTACCGGCTAGTTTCCCTTCTCATGAATTTCTAGAATTCAGTCTTGACACTCGCTTGCTACAGCTTGCATCTACTTGATTGTTCCTCTTGCTGAAACTCTTGCCGTAAACCTTGCTCCGTTTCTTGAACGCATTGTCATTAAACATGCCTTGAGTTACGTTGTTGTGTTTGACCGCTTGGGATGAACCTGTGTCATCCCAATCGGAGCCACCTGTGTAATTGAGTTACATCAGTAAGAGCGTCCTCGGCCAGCATCGTTGCCGGTCGTACCACCTTTCATCCTAACAGCCGACAGATCGTGGTACGGTGGATTAACCAACCCACTAGAACAGCAGCCAGATAGGCTGTTGTTACAATACAGTCGAAAATCGGCTGCACTGGTTTGAAAAGTCAAGGTAAACTAATTACAATACGAACAGACATGCAAGTTTAGTTTGAACCATAACACTCACAGATTCCTCACTCCACAATATTTATTAATGCTTCAGTTTAATACATTTGGCTCTTTGGTTACTTGATCAGACAAATCATGTACCGTGACGGAGTACAAGATCGGTACCGACGTTACCAGCCCACTATCACATTTCCAACAAGAAAAAACTAGTAATCCTAGACTCCTAGTACCTAACAATTACGTTCAAGTACGTACCTAAGTTAAATGCAATTCGCTTTTGTCATTAAAGTTCAACAAGGTAAGGGCCAACCACCTCGCGCCTGAACTAGCGGGAAACCAAAATGTCGTTGGAGAGACACAACAAGTTAGTCGAGGTAGTAATGGGCAAGAATGGCCAACTGGAGATTTCCAAACGGAATGTTGTCAAAGTTGCGCAAGTCTAGAATGACTGAATGATCATTCCATCCTTGCATCTCGTCGGCATCTCCACATTCCATGGTTCCATAGCTGCAACATGCAAATTTAGACAACATGGCAACTTTAGAAAATTTTTACAAGAGGGCAATAGGAATTTATGCTCCTGCATTATTCAGCAGAACATTGAATTTAAAATTTACCGTTAGAATATTCGTCGTAAACCTGTCCACTTGTTTCCAGGATACGGGACACCCCGTAACCAGACAGTGTACACCTTTTTTAAGCGCTTCTTGAGCCTAATGCTTACAGGTGGACAGCGTGTCTCCAGTGCTTGCTTAAACACTTTATGCTTTCGTTCTCGTTGTCCTCGATAAGGTCCATAACGGGAATTGCGATGATCAGGTTGCAACCTTCGTCGCCTTTGGCACCGCGCATAGAATATGGGTACGGCGGGAAACTCCCCATGGAAAAATCAACCACCAACATCTGAACGCGTAGATGCCGGCACAACTTCTTCAGCTCCAGTAGCTGGAAGTTCACTTTGCCGTGAATGGGGTCATCCGGATCGAACTGCTCGGCGGATAAGCTTCCATCGGCATCCGGCAGTGTCTGATGGCGATTAAAAAGAGCTTGCACTGTTTGAGACTGATTAATTGGGTGATGCACGAAACCAGCGTCATACAGTCGGTGCGGTGATCCATGTGCAGCAGCGCCAAGGCTTGGGTTCCTTGGCTGACTGCGTGGTGCAACAGCAGCGCAATGCGGTAGCCTTCTGCTTCGGGCAGCCCGGGTAAGCTGCCACTGATATGGGTGAAATCAATCGTGACAGACGCAGTGGATGCTGGATAAGATATTAAGTTATTCCACAGAGCACATATTCTGCAACAGTTACCGTGAGAACAGTCGATATTCGACTGCGCGCGGTGTTGTAACATACATTGTAATTATTACGGTATATTGTGGTTACGATTTATGCCCAAGCAGTCATTACCTACCGCTTTGCTGACGGCCGTGAATGCATGAATACTGCAAAATGAAGGGTAGCACTTCAAAATGAAGGGATATTGCCAAGCGGATTTAACGTTATCTGCAACATTGCGTACTTTATTACGCTTTACTGGTAAATTTAATACTGGTTCGCGCAAGGAGCCATGGTATGGTCATGGCTTACCTGCAGTGGTGCCGTGTAAAGACTGACTGCCAACTTCCGGTCCGTGAAAGTACCGTTGCAAATAGCTCTTCGTCGCCAACGAGATCTTTGCAGCTGTTGTCGTTTTCCAGCATCTACCACTGCATCTGGTCTTCTTTACCAGCATGTGAACCTGCTTGCCTTCCACCAGGGTGGATGATAACACCCTGCGTGCATCATTACGAATGTTAACATCCCTTCGGTAATCCGAACAAAAAGCTTTGCGCTTTCTTAGTTGGCCATGCCCTGTACGTAATAGAGTGATTCGTACCGCGCTTGTTACCGACAGCAAAAAAATTCGTCAAACCAGAAACACGTATCCTATAAACGGTCAAAATCCGATACTGGATGATGCACTGTAACTTGTCTATAATAGCAAGTAAAATAGATCTAATTTAATTAACATACTCGCCACCATACGGGCGGTGCCCTTCACGGAATGCCGCTTCCAGGAAACGCGCAACTTGGTATTCATCAACTTTTCAAAATGAGACGCGCAACCACTTTTTGTAAGGTTTCGATACATTCAGATTCAGCTAATCAACAATTCAGCCAATGCCAAAAAGAAAAGTTTTAATCAGCAGTACATGAGTGAAATTAATACCCCATAAGCGTAGCTACGCAAAGCATAATGCGGCCTATGCGCAGCGGCAGCGCTGGCGTGGCTTATTTGGGGGGATCGTTGCGGGTGTCTGGTGGCGGAAGGTAGGAAGCCGGAGCATGCTGTCTTCCGGCTTCGCCGGGACGAATACCGTAACCAACTTGAGGCTGCGGTGCGCCGGGAGGAGCCGGAGTTCCCAGATCCGGATCAAAACGATGTCCAGGGGGCAACACATCAGCCTGGCCGGGAACGATAGCAGCAGCCAAGCAGATAACTAACAGAGCTCCTAGAGACGACAAGACGTTCAATCGTCAAAAAAGTTGAGGAAAACAGTTGCTGTCGCATGTATGATGGTAAAACAACAGGGAAATTTTACTGCACTATAACGCGGGGCCGTATGGGCGCCACGGGTATCCTCGACAGCGAAACAGCGGTGAACCCGGATGAGGCTTTATTGCCGAATCTAATGCGCACCGTGGCGCAGCAAACACCAGACTAACAAGGAAGGATTCTGCAGCCAGTGCAACTGTGCTGCAGATCCGTCAAAACAGCGCAGCAATGTGCGGGGTGGAAATCCCCAGAAACAGCGAATAGCTACTCAGGAGGGCGGAGCGTCCCTCCGTTACAGCACATTTCATAGTTTGATCATTTACGATAGGATATTTTTCTTAGCGCCCAGACATTGTATAACACTGTTCAAATGTAAGCTTAGAGATTCAAATCCTACGAGTAGGGTATGCGACGATTGCTAGTTCTTTGCAGTTTATATCTGACTTAACTTCCTCACATTCTGTAGCTAAATGATAGAGTATTTACACTGTACCTGTACACGTACATATTTTTGAAGACAGCTGGTAAAGTCGACTATTAATATAATTAATTTAATTACATATTAATATAATTAATATAATTAATATAATTTATTTAATTAATTACTATTGATATAATTAAGGTCACTTCTATGCGCCCCAAAATTTTAGGGCGCATAGTTAATTTGCTATGCGCCCAAAAAATTTAAGGCGCCTAGTTAATTTGCTATGCGCCCCAAAATTTCCGGTCAAAATAGGAAAGCCAGTAATCTAAAACGTAATAGAACGTTAAAACATGGTATCAGCGAATCCGTAATGTTGCTGTAAAGTGGTACAGACCAGGCAAAAATTGCAGAAAAACAAAGGTCTTGCTTGTACTCGTACAATGCATTACGGCACTATGATACAAAACATTATAATACAAATAATTATGATGGCTCACTAACCAGGCATAATCAGGTTTTAATTCAAAAGAATTTGCTGCAGTATTTCCTATTTAACCTGTCATAAACTAAGAAAACTGTAATTATTGATTGAATTTACGAATGTTTTTACTGGGGTACTTAAGTGTACTCCTTAATTTTGGTGAACATAACCGACAAATAGCTTTCTTTTTTCAATCAGGCAATCTCTACGTACTCATTTCTTTATTGGGCAAAAGGCCATCAACATAACAAAATATGCATACGCGTAATACTACATAAAATGATTCGAATTTACGTTAAAATCTCTACGTTAAAATTTTGAAACATGCATTCGCAATGCCTATAGAAGCCAAAATGCATTGCTAACTAAATAACAAGTGGTGAAGAAAACCTAAATAAGCAAACAAATTTTGTTTTTAACAACTTGCCAGATGCAGAGTACGTTTGATCAAAAAGTCAGATGATAACTATGCCGAAATGCAGATATACAGAGTACAGCGAAGTTAGATTTGCCTTTCTATGTCACTATGTACCTGTAATTGTTATTTTGATAATCATTTATCTTTATAAAATCAGATTCTCCAATTTGCTATTCTCATATCTCACAATAAATTTCCGAAAAACTATACACACGGCTGAAACACCGGTGTCTGTAATCGAGATAGTGCCATGGAATTACGGAAGCCGTCTTGGAAGCGCGGCCCCGATAACCGCAGAAAAACTGTTTGCTTTAAGCTATTAATATCGATAATCGCAAAAGAAAGAAGTTGACGAAGTTCGCGGAAAACGAAACTTACCGGTTAAATAGATAAGGTCAACAGTGTGCCATTTATACTTTTATAGCTGGAATACGAAATGTAACAATTCAAGTTTGGTAAATCTAACTGGTAAGTCAGCGGGGTACTTATGCACTGGACACATCTAAGTACGAAAAAATGCATCAGATTTCGCGGATAAGTCAAAAGCAGTGAACAAACTTCTAAAAGAAGACAGCGAACGTAAAATTAATTTTCCCGTTAATAGAGAGTAATAAGAACGGTAAAAATTGAAATACAAAATTTTTAACTGCAATTTTTTGGGCGCATAGCAAATTAACTATGCGCCCTAAAATTTTGGGGCGCATAGCACTTTCGTATAATTAATTGTATGTACTTGCTCATATTACTTACCAGTTAGATACATCTTCGTAACCTTTACGGTTGCAGTTCTGAAATACAAATACTTGTTTGAAATAAAACTTTACGGCTGTGACTGTAATACTGTAGTTTAAAAGAAAAGCAATGATACAGCTTATAGCCTTATACCTAGGCACAGACACGGACAATTAAAGTTAGGATCCAAACTAATTTCAGCGAGTGCACCATAATACCGGGCCGGTAGTATAGTGCACTCGAATTACCGGCTGACTTTGAAAAAGAAGTAGAATGACTTTGCACCAGTAACGGTAATCGCAAAAGCCATCGAACACGATTTCTTGGCGATAAAGCCGATGTTTTCAACAATCCAGCCAAAATATTATATGTTAAGCAAATGTTTCTCAGTACTCGTAGTGGTCAGTGCAAGTTCCAACATATGTATCGCCAAAGGAGAGTGTATTTACTGTTATTCACGCTGACGAAGTTAAGCGCAGATCCAAAGCAGATCAAAAGGATTAAATTGGAGACTGATATGGAGGAAGATCGATCGAAAGCAGTATTAGCAGCGAACGCTTTGATCCTGGCAAAAGGTCAAGGGGACAATAGACAGAATCGCACTCATGCAAGACGATAAATATGAAATCACGCTACCAGTTTACCATGCAACATTACAAAAGCAGCATCAAGGAAAATCGTCATGTAATGGTCAAAGTACAGATAGCAGAGAGAATAGCAGCTGAAATCAACAAACATTTCGATCGTCGTCATCAAACCTCTTTGAACAACGGCAAAACCTCACCGTCCAACCTATGGCTCCGCATGCTCGCAGCTTAAGAAAAATGACCCGATACATGGCTCCAAAATCATATTTTTTTACGAAAATGTTGCTTTTGCGCACTCTCACACTCTTTTTTACATTGTTTTATGATATTCTGTAGGCAAAGGAATTGTATACGGAGAACAGAGGCGCGAAAATTGTTTGTTTGCGCAACACCTGGTTTAGTACTTATTTACGGGTGCAAGAGAATTCCAAAAAGCATGAAGAAATTCAGGAGTACTCATTATGAGCCGAAGTTGAGATCTGTACTGGTATCTGTTAAAAACTTCAATCTTTACCAGTACTTGTATACGTTTTAATGTTAATATCGCTCATACACTTAAGCAGCTGCTTGTCGGCCAGCCTGGCAGTTGGAAATTTTGAAACTTACCAGAGATTTTTGTACACTGTGCAACACATAATATTCGTTGTACGCCTACAAGTTGCACGTACTCGTAACAGGTAACAACTACGGGTAGGAATCCAGTACGTGAGAAAAAATAATGCAACACTACTCCAGCACACGAATCGAAGAATGCGAAAAAAACAACTATACGCACACCACCTAAGAGAATCTACGCTTAACGTTTTTTTCGAAGCCCATCATATACAACACCGGATACTTCATAGCCCGCTACCGCTCCGCCGCAACCTCCTGCTGCTCCACCCACGATCGTCCCGAGACCGGGGCAAATGCAGTGACCAACCACTCCTCCCGCTGCTACTCCGGTAACCGCGCCCACGGTTCCGCCCACCAACTGGCCAAACTCCCGGTCGTTCGTCGCCAGGCCCACACCGCCCCCGATCGCTCCGCCCACTGCGCCGCCGGCAAAAGTTCCCACTGCGGCTGCACCGGCGATCAGCTCCACAGCCATTCTTGCTCCAAGGCAAATTTCGGGCTTAACTTTTAAACAAAATACAGGGAGCTTTAATCCAAGTGGTCCTGTAAATTGCAATAGGCATACATTACGGTGCATCACTAACGGTAAATTTGTTAACGCGTGTTGAGTTATAAAATTAATAGAATTACGTAATGCGTGTATCGAATGATGGGAAAATTAAGTCCTATTTGACCCGTGTATCAAATTATAATTCCCACAATTTTAATTACAGTATTTACGCAGTTACCTATAGCAGATCGTACGTATGACAACACGTTATAAATTGTACGTTGTAAGTACAAATTTTGAAATGGGTGCACACAATAGAAGTTGAAAAAAATTTGTATACAGTAGTTTCTCAAGTAAATAAAAAGTTCGGAACAACAACAGACCGACTTGTACCTTGACTTCTGTAGGCGTATCAAGTGGGTAATATATATTATCGTGACAACGATTAAAGACTGCGGTATAACACAGGGGGATCGGATACGAAAGGTCACTCTTGAACTTCTTACAACTAATTGCTGAGCACAAAACAGAAACGCTCTTCGTAACAGACAGCTTTTCCGCGAAACCAAGTTTCGCAGTTTTTATAACAACAAAAGTAGAACTGCACACACGCTTTCCGGTCTGATGCATAGGGAAAAGGGAGCGAATGCTTGCGCGAATGATTGCTGCATGACTGATCTGCGGACCAGTTATAATCATCGTGCCAAAACGCCTTCCCATTTGTCTCGAATCTTCTTAGTCGCTGAATAATTGTTACACATATGGCATATGCACGCTTATTGCACGTGCGGCCAGTGTTGCTAAAAATGATACCGTTATGATGTCAGAAGTCGAGCACACGTTTTTCCGGCTTATATCGGTTCATTCACGCATTACTCAACACACACTCACCATAAGACAGCTTCTCTGCCGGCACACGGTACTTGTAACTTGTAAGTAGCACGTAGACGATAACATGTGCTGTAGCTCTCTACGTTGCCGGTAAAAAGTTAGTGTAGGCAACCAGATTCTGCCTTTTTGTTTTAAAGACGTTTTACAGATTTTTCATTTATTAATCTCTGTACTATCAAAATCTCCAATACACGTCCGACGTTGTTCATCGTATTTCCCTTTAACGCCGCTAGTAAGCGAAGCATTTAATATTCAACCTAATGTCGTTATTGTCGCTTAATAAACTTAGAAGTACTGTAGCCGCTCGATGCACCACAGAGTTGTTGTACGGGGAACCAGCAACTGCAAAGTGTGCACTGCTCGTGCATGCGAGCGCATGAACATGCACCCGCTGCATGTGTGCTATTTTCCCGTACACCAACTCTGTGGTGTCATACTGCCATTTGATCAAGCCGCTACAGTAATTAAAACTACAAAATTAAAACTATTATTCTGTATTGCTTGCAGTCTTTTCATGATGAGCATTACCCACGTGCTGGGCTGCGGAGGCCTAGTCGGAGCCGCTGTGGGCGGAGTTATCGGCGGTATTGCTGGAGGCGTCTTAGGCGTACATCGCCAGGATAAGGAGTATGGCCAGTTCATTGGAATGACGGTTGGTGGTGTGGCTGGAACGGTGTCCGGCGCCGTTACCGGGAACATGGTGCGCAGTGGATCTTCCGCCACGGTCTTTGGTGGAAGTGCGGCGGGCGTGACAGGATCAACAGCCGGGTATACTACGGCCGGCATTTTATACGATACATTGATCGGATTCGGGATCGGAGAACCGACGAAGTAGACACAGGTCGTTTGGCTTTCTGCTTAAAATATTCAGTTGTTGGGTTAATGACCTTAGGGGATCGCTTTTGTGTATGTCACCTATTTTGCGGTGAAAAACGCTGTAATAAATATGCGTTTATAGCCAGTGGATGCGCTAATGGTCTTGATGCACGTAAGTAAATGATGTTGTCTTCTAATCGTATAAATACGTGAAGGTGCGTCCCGTCAGAAGCTGCTAACGAGTCCAATGCAAAAGGTATAACATGTGCACGCTATGTGCACGCTATAAATTCTCACAGATAACCTGCAACATACCGCGTTTGATATCGATACAAATGCTACTCTTAAGTAATAAAAATTGACCAGGTTTATCCAGTTTTCTTTGCAATGAAAAAACGGTTCTATAGACAAGTAAAACGGTGCACTTACAAAGTACGAAATACGTGTAACACATAAGCATATTTATTATGCTTTCAAATTCTTTACGGAGCATATCATATCAACTTTGACATCTGTACGGAAAATCAAACAAATCAAATTGCTAAGTGTGCTTGATCATAAAATTAATGCAGTTTTCTCGGTTAAATCCCATACGAAAACGGATTTTATGTTTTGTAAACCAGTATGTTTTGTGCCTTGGATTAAATTACGGTATACGGAGGTGCTTTCGTTCCTGTGCTAGAATTCGTCCCCTGCAGTTAACGGCTGGGCACAAACACAAGAGCTTGTGACCTTTAGGAAATTAAACTCAGCAGACTTTATAACAGCAATGTGCGAATGCGGCTGCTCGGATGCCCTTCTCGCATCCTTGCCCCACCGTCATCGTGATGCCAATGTTGTTGAAAATGATATCGTTAGGTTGAAGCATTTCGCTAAGCAAGAACTTGGTGTACAATCAGCGGACTAACCCGGATGCGTTTCGACCAGAGCCAGCGTGATAAAGAAACGGTACTGCGCATCCGCATAAGTACCTGTGAGCCATGGCTGTACTCACGTCCACCCTCACGCCTGTGGCGTTAAGCGGATGACGTGTCAGTGTTGTGTCTCCTCTGATTGGTTGTATGTGCCTTGTGTGGGCGCGCCTATGTGCGCTGCGAAGAGCGTTGATTTAGCTCTTCGCTTGGCAGATTTGCCAGTGTTCAGTCAGTGTTGATGTGAGTTGATTTGCACACTCAATAAAGTGTACCTATGCTAGTGGATGCCGTGCGTTGGGCATTTATCCAGATTTCATAGCATATTACGCTACGCAGGATCCTGTCAGTGGGGATCTCTGTCCTGGACTCATTCTGAGTTCCACGTTATATGGTAGCAGAGCCCGTGAAATCCGCGGTGCTCGATTGATCTGTTTGGCGAACGGCCATATTAATCTGTTTGGCGAACGGCCACAATTATCTGTTTGGCGAACGGCCACGTGGAATCTGGATCGATCCACTTTTGATCGACCGCACCAGTAAGGCACTGGTTTTTCCTCATCCGTCAGCAAGGCGCATTCAACCGGATTGCCAGCAGGAGCGGCAGCACTGAGTCAAGTATCTCCTGTGGAGAACTTGTCTCGTGTTTCTCAAGTCAGACGGCAGCTGGCCGCGGTGCAGGTATCTCCTGTGGAGAACTTGTGCTGTTTCCACTGCTAAGCAGCGAGATCCTCTGTAGAGGACGAGGCTGCTGGGCACAGGCGCCGAGAAGCCACGAAAGTTGGCAGCACCGAAGGAGGTGCCAAAGAGATCAGTTTACGCGCTCCACCAAATTGGCTGTAGAGCGACCTGCTGGTAGGCCTGACAAGCCCAGCAGAAGGCAGACGAGGTCGGACTAGGAAGGCGCCAAAACCGTGCGGAATACGGCTGCGCGGGATCGGATTGTGGAGAAGAAACGCAATCATCTGGATCATTTTTGGCGGAAATCGGAACGGTAAACAGGTAAAAACCGTTGTTAATTATCGGATTGGTTAGCGCGTAAAAAGCGCAAATTTCATTGGTCTGTACTGAGCTGAGCTAGACGGAGGCGGAATTTTTGCACTCGGCGCGCAAGTCTGGTCGTCGATCTGTGACGTCACGTAGGTCAGAAAATTTAGCGGGCTCAGGCGATTGGTCAATTATATGAGCTGTGATTGGTTGAAATTTTTACCGGTAAAATAGAAATAAACGATCTCATAAGGAGCTCCCAAGTATCTAAAACGAACTTTTATCGACATAATTGATCTAATATGAGCTGGTATGAGCTGTTTCTAACCGAAATAAGTTGAGTGAAAAGTTGACCAGCTGGACCTGAGATCGATCTCTGACCTAGAGCTGAGCTGATAATGACCTACTCAGATGAGCTGAGATGATCTAATTTGATCTGATATATGAACTTTTTCATCGAAATCGATCTTTTCTCAACTAAAACGAGCTGATTTTAATTGAAACGAGCTGAGTAAAAGGTGATCTGAGTTGAGCTGAGATCGATCGGCTGATATAAAACGAACTTGAAACGAACTTTTAGCAACTCAGTTGATATCGGTAGCTGCTCATCAGCATCTCCGAAGTGAACTTATCGAACTCCCAATTGAAAAGTGATCTTTTTAAATGAACCTGAGCTCATCTCCCGAGCTGATAAGTGATCTATAGGGATCATAACGATCGTATTATAACGTGTGTGTGAGCATAACCGACAGGTGCGTCCAGTTATCCGATCATCACAATGGACAAAGAGATCATCGAACCAACATCTAATAGCAGTCAGGGGAGTCGAGGCTCCCGCGGATCTCAGCAAGGCGCACCTAATCCGTACAAGAAGGACCTGAACTCATACACACGTCCCGTCGCACATGATCGGAGCACCCGGGCACCTAAAGCCTTTGAGAGGAAGGACTCTCGAGGCTCGGATGCGACCTACCAAAAGGCACTCGAAGCAGTGTCAGGTCAGGAGAGCTCCAGCGACGACCGGAAACGATCCCCCACGTCGGCGCCGGGAAACAGCGAGGTGAACCAGCAGGTCACCAAAGAAGGAACGAGCTCACAACGAGCTAAGGAGGTGGATGTGACATCACAAAATGATGTCAAGATCAGCCCTGCCACATCGGAGCAGGTCAAAGATGCTGATCTGACTAAACCGGACCTCACTGAACAGTCAAATGACGAAAAACTTGATGAGCTGAAGTTGGGCGATGTCTCACTTGACGATGACGTCACAGTGGAAGATCTGTTTGAGAGCCCAATACAGTTCGACGAGATGATGCGAAATCAGAAGCTCAACGATGAAGAGTCGTACCTCACCGAAGACGATGTGACGATGAACATGTCGTTCAGGACGGCAATGAAGGATGCCGACCGAGCTGAGGGGATGATATCGTTCAAAGACATACCCGAGCATCTAATCGAACGAACTCAAACTGGGAAGATCATCAGTGTCCGATCTCCATCTCCGAACAGTCCCACCTCGAATCTGAAGAAGCAAATCAGAGAGCTCCAAACGTCACTGGAAGATAAAGAATGCCAGATGCTCCAGAAGAAACAAGAATACCAGAACAGGATAAACTCATTGGAATCTCATGTTTATGAGATGGAGCAACAACAGGGTGTACTGGAAAATATGGTAGCTGAATGGAAGATCAGATACGAACGTCAAAAGGAGCTCGCTGAAGAAGCCCAGAAGGTGGCTGACGACAAGGAAGTCGAAAAATTCATCGCGGTTGACGAGCTCAACGAGAGCATGTCAGAAGAATCGGCTGAGAGATCACGTCACTTAGCGGAATTGAAAGATCAGTGTGACGAGCTTCGCAAAAAGGCGAACGAAGCTGAACTGAAACGAAACGAATATGCATCCAAGCTCGCCGAAGCGACACAGAAGCTGGCCACAATGTCAACAGATATGCTGAAGCTCAGAAACGATCTGAAGCTGCGGGACGAGAACATCGCCACCCTCCAAAGGGAGTCGCAAGCTCATCAGAAACGAGCTGATGAGGCACTCCAGGTGGCAAAGGAGCTCACGGAGCTCGGAGCAACTGAGGGAGAGCGACTCAAAGCGGGAATTAAAGAGGTTAACGAGGAAAATGAGAAACTCATGAACGAAAGTCAAAAGTGGCAGGCTCAAGCATACCGGCTGGACACAATGGTCACAGCTCTCGAGATAGCTGACAAGGAGAATCAACGAAAGGTCCACGAGCAGCTCGAAGAGAACATCAGGCTCAACACGGAGCTGACCGAAATGGCGACAACGGCAATGCTCAGAGAAGATGAAGCTACAGAAATGAGAAACCAGCTGAGATCAGCAGCTGAGGAGTACACCCGGTTAGAAGGTGAGGTGACCCAGCTAGTCGAACAGATCAAGAAGATGGAAAATGAGACCGAGAAGATTGTACAGGAAAAGACATTCCAACTTCATAATCATATGCAAAAAGTGAAACAGGAGAATTCTAACCTGAAAATACAACAGGAAGAATTCCAGCTGAAAATCAAACGACTGGAAGATGAGAACAAAGCTCTCCAGGTGACAAATAAGCACAAGGATGAACAACTATGTCAGTTCGGTGTGAAGAAAGCAACCGACGAATCACCCCCGCCCAGTTACAGTAAGGCACAAGGGACTGGCGGGAGTGCTCACTTTGAAATGCCGCTACGAACGGGTGGCGGCAGAGGTGATCCGAAAATGGAAAAAGACGATGAAGCCTCTGATAAACGGAACCCGTCGAGTAGTCACCAGCCATTTATGAGCTCCGGTGACCCATCGCAGTCTCAACAACCCATTGAAACGGCAGTTAAAGACGATGCAAATCGAGATGCACGGTCCCCTCGACATGAACACGACGGGAGATATTTCAGAGAAATCCCAAATGAACGAAACCAGCGGAATGAGCGAAACGACCGAAACGAAGATCGTGCCCAAAGGGAATTCAATAGGTCCATCAAAAACATGGGCCGAAAAACCGACCTAGCAACCTTTGACGGTAACCGAGATGCTGTGAATGGATGGATTCGCATTATAAAAGAGACACAGCGCACATATGATCTGACTGATGAGCAGATCATGATCGACATAGCCAGTGCTGTAAGGGGACCAGCAAAGATCTGGTTCGACAGCGAAAGAGACATCGAAGAAGCGGAAGAAGAAGTCTATACGGTTACGGAATGGCTCAATAAATTCAGAGATGAGTATGGTGATCGAAACGAGGAAGTTCTCGGCCTACGCGAAGCTATGGCCAGAAAGTTCAAACCCGGTAAAGAAACACTTGAACAGTTTTACCAGGCGATTATGAAGTTTAAGGCGAAGAAGGCAATCACCGAACTACAAGCGGTGGCATTCCTCATAGATGGATGCAGAGTTGATAATAACCTATACAATGCCTTGAAAACGAAGGGGTTCAAGACGCCAACAGAAATAAAGGACTTCTTCAGATCGTGGGCAGCTGGTGAAGATAAATATAAGGTGGTGGAAGGTCAACGCAATCAACCGGAGATCGTGACCATCCGATCGGGCCAAGTTGAGATGGCACCGAGACAGTACGCAGCTGCACCAGCTCAACAAGCGGAATATCGGCCGAGATCACCAGCTCCGGTCCAGAATCAAGTGACTTTCATCGATAGTCAGACGGGACAACCGATCACATATGCCATGGTCGCTGCGATACAAGCGCAGGCACAGGCCAGACCAGTGGCACCGGCAAATGTAATGCCGAAACCCCTGAACGTAGGGGTGCCACCTCAACAAGGAAGGCCCAATAATCAATACGGAAATGGTAACAATAACTGGAATAATGGACAAGGTAACGGAAATGCCAACTGGAATAACGGCCAGGGAAACGGCAACTTTAACCAAAACCGGAACCAAGGGAACCAGCAGAACCGTGGCAACTATCAGCCCCAGCAGGGTTCCCGAACGGAATGGAAATTTGGCCAAATCGACGATTGGGTCACCCAGGGCGTGCAGCTGTGCCAGAACTGTGGATTTGGCAACCACGACGCACAGAACTGCATGTTCGCCAACATGCCACTAAACCGGAACCCGAACTTGTTCGCCACCCAAGAGTGGGAACGTCTCCGCACCCAGGGCGGCTGGCGACAGGCGGTAGCGAACGGCTACGACCTGGTCGCAGCTTGGCGCCAGTTCAAGCAACAGAACGGCGGCAACCAAGGAGGTGGCCAGGGTGGCGGATATAACGGTGGAGGCAGAGGTGGCTTCCGCGGACGAGGTCGCGGCAATGGACGCGGTAACGGACGCGGCGGATACGGAAACCGGAATGGAGGTGGCTGGCGCGCCAACAATAATGGTGGTGGCGGCGACCAGAATAACGGTGGCGGCGCGAACGGCGCTAACCAGGGGCGGCAAAACGAGCAAGCCCCGCAGCAGCAAATGAACCAGGGAAACGACCAAGATCAGTAGGCGCCGGTGAACCTACTGATCCTCCCGAACCGAAACCACCGGATAAAGGAGGAACGCAGAATCGGACTGCGAACGAGATGGCTCAAAAGATGCCATCACAAGTGGGCAAAGTACCACAGCCGCAGAATTGGACTGCAGGCGAAACGGCTTATAAGATGCCGTCACATCAGCTGAATGAGATGGCTAAAAAGATGCCATCACCCGTGGGCAAAGTACCACAGCCGCAGAATCGGACTGCAGGCGAAACGGCTTATAAGATGCCGTCACAGCAACTGAAGGAGATGGCTCAAAGGATGCCATCACAGGTGGGCAAAGGACCACCACTGCAGAATCAGACTGCAGATGACATGGCTTATAAGATGCCATCGCAAGTGGGCAAAGGACCACTGCCGCAGAATAGCACTGCGAAGTCACCGCAGGACCGGACTGCAGGTGAGATGGCTCAAAAGATGCCATCGCAAGTGGGCAAAGGACCACTGCCGCAGAATGATACTGCGAGCAACGAGGTGAACAATAAGGCAAGATCACCTTACTGCAGCGAAGAGAAGCTGAAAGAACGACGTGCTCAGCGTAATGAGATCATCCGAAAAGCGAACTTGAAGAAGAAGATGGAAGAAGAGAAGGAAACCGATGAGCAGCATGCCAGATTCCGGGAGTTCCTCCGTAACCGGGAAAAAGACATCCCACCACCTGCCGCACCAGAGCGAGATAAAGGAGCAAGTGCAGTCGCTGAAAAAGACGACAAAAAGGTCGTCCAAACAGGTCAGGCAAAGGAACTGCCGCTGCGAAATGTGCAGCTAAACGAGAGCGAACGAGCACAACAGGTCTCCGATGACTCGCTGGATGATGCGAACACGTTGAATCAAAAGCAGACGTGGCAAAAAGTGGCATATCGACCCAATGGGAATCATGGGATGTGGATACCGGTTACGCCAAAAGCGAAACTGAAAGGACAAATGTCGCAAGAAGACTTCTGGGACATGAAACAGCTTCAAACGGATGCTGCGAGAAAACGTCTCGAGGAGTTGGTTACCGGGAAACCAGATAAAGGGTTAAAAAACCCAGTCCCAATCCGGAAGTGTTCATCGTGTTCAACGCAGAACCCAGATGTGCCCAATACAGCCCCAGCGTATAAGAAGACACCAGCTGACTTATGTTACTTGAAAAATGCCCCGCCAGAAGGCAAGCCCCCCAATTACGGAGAAAAAGTTCCGTTACAAAAGTTGCCAAACGGCGGATTCACCATAAAGAAGAAAGAGAAGCCACGGGATTTCTTGCAAGTTCTGCAGGATGACGCTAACAGGTCACCACCCAGAACAGAGGGGATGTCTTCACAGATCGACCCCAAGCAAACGGACAATGAATGGGCTAAAAGGATAACTGATTGGATGAAAGAAAACGAGCATAAAATGATCATTTATGAGAGATCACCAGATGAGTTGAAAGATAGCGAAGAAGATGAGCTCACACTAGCCGAGCAGATAACAATGGAAGTCATTGACAAGCTGCGTGATAAACCGGTAGATGACCGAGAGGCGACCAAGTTGTATCAGACCATCACTGAGGTGACAAAAAGTCACCAGGAAGTTGCGAAGGGGCAACTAAATGAGGTCAAAAAGGCCGACAGTGATGTAAAAGCTGCAACGAAAAAAGAATGTGAGGAGTTAAAAAGCTCAAAGGAGAGGAAGAAAAGAGAATTCTACGATGTTCGAACTGATGTGCCACATCGTATTGATCATCTGAGCTCGATATTGAGGAAGAAAAGCACATATGCGAACGGGCATGTGCTCTCCTCAACAGCAGACATGGATCCGGGACCTGTCTCGCTGATACCGGTTAAATGCACAGTTCGAACTCTTAAAGTTCAAAACGGGAACTTGCCAAAAAGGATCGAAGCTTACACACACGAGGTGAAAGTTGGAGACAATAAAGTCATCGCGATGTTGGACACTGGAGCTGAGACATCGCTGATCAGCAAGCCGTTTTGTGAGAAAAATGGTCTCCACATGTTACCGCTACCACCAGATAAATTGGTGAAGATAAACGGAATCAGCGGCACATCAGGCTTCGTCGTCACACATTATTGTGTGGCACCAGTAACGTTGAGAAAACGAACTTCTCAACACTCCTTCTACGTGCGTCCAAAGACAGACGACGTCCAGGTCCTATTGGGACATGACTTCCTGGCGACAAAGTTCGTCCTGATCGATAATCATGGGAAGGAGGAAGTTGAAGATGAACCGAAGCCAATTGCCAAAGTTCAAGTTGGAAAAGTTGCTGAACTTGTAAAAGGGGCAGTTAAAGCTAAAACGGAACAAAGGGCTATCCCAGTACCAGAGGCACTGGGATCAAAAGAGATGAACATAAAAAGGGGAGGTTCATCTGCCCAGCCGTCGATAGTTGAACGAATGACAGCTATCCAGCGGGACATCTCTACCAGGTTGGGGAGATCATCAGAAAAATCGATAAATCGGGTTAACGTCGTTATCCCAGTACCAGAGGCACGGGAAACGACGACAGATGATCAAAAAGGAACTGATAAAGGAGCCATCCCAGTACCAGAGGCACTGGGAACAAAAGATGAAACTCCTTTGACGCTGGAGCAGATCACAGCTACACAAAAAGAAGCCGCAATCGAAGCGAAACGAGCTCTTGTACCGGACTTGGAGTGGTCAAAGCCTATCCCAGTACCAGAGGCACTGGGAGTGAAAAGCGTTAAAATCCGGACAAGCAAAAAGATGGAAGTCCCAATGGAGATATTGAAACGAATAACTGAAGAGGAACAGATGTTCGCGAGCGAAATCCGCGACAAAGCAATTGAACAATTGAAAGGCCACCAGAAAAAAGCGGGAACGGATGTTATTGAAATATTCTCAGATGGAGCGAATGTGACACTTAATGAATGTGAGCAAAGCCCCACAAAACGAAACGATGTCACACCACCAGCGGATAGAATTTTAACCCCAGAAGAAAGAGCCGGGAGTTGCCATCACGGATATCACGAAGATCCGCGCAGAATTCAACCGCAATGGGAATGCGATAAGTGTAACCGGATCGCATCCCAAGACGATCTTTCAGAATGGCCTAAATGTAACGCAGCGATAGCAGACCTCAAAAGTCACGTTCTGAAAGAAGTGCGAAGTATCCTACGGACCATGAGCATGTGTAACCCACACATCGAACGATACCATTGGAACAGATACCGAACGTGGTTATCATGCGTCAAAAACTTCATATACGGAAGAGGAAAATGGTTGCAATACTGGCAACGATGTGTGGATAATGGAATCCAAGACCCTCATGAGGTGATATTGTCAAAACGGAAACTTGAAATTGAAACTGAAGATATGAACGAAGAGATCCAGTTATGGGAAAATGCGAGAATTGAATTATTCTGGGACTTCCGCATTAACCATATGTACAGAGGCCAAGGGAAAACGATTAACTTCCCATCAGGACTTGGCACACCCGTTTATGAGTCAGTCGAGCAATTCTGCAAGGCACTTCACCACGACGACTCGGAAATATTTGAAACGTATTGGAAAAAGTTCGAAGACGAAACCCCCAAATTCGACGTTAAGGAAATGCGGGAGTTACAGGTAACTCGCAAAAGAAGGGAAGCGGGTTTTATGACAAAGAAGAAAGTGACTTTTGCACCAGATCCTGACGGAGTTGAATACCCGGAGCGGGGTGGTGACACGTGGTGCATGTACGAAACGATTCCAAGTGAAGACTGGGTCACTGAAGAGCTGATGGCGAATTGCGTCTTTGTTGGACCGAAACGACCTAAAGGGTACGAAACGGCTCAGAAAGATAAGACAAACGAAGAGCCTACAAAAGAGGCGCAAAAGGAGGAATCGCCAACTGAAACAGCTGAACAGGAACCGAATACAATCGAAGAACGATCCCCAAATGCTTTCGAAATAGCACAAATGTTAACGGAAAGAGGAAAAATGTGGGAAAAGTTCAACGAGGAGCTCCAAAAGATCTCCGAGGGTCAACAGGACCCAGTAACAAAGGCAAAAGAGGACGAAGAGACACTCGATAACGGTGAGGAAGGTCCACCGGTCGAGAGAAGTCGATTAATGAGCCTCGAGGAGATCGACGAGCTGGAAGGAGCAGCTCCAGAAGATGAGAAATTAGCCTCAGATGAACGAAGGTCATCGGCAAAAGTACGTGTAGCACGTAGCCACCCGAGAATCACAGCGAAATATGGACGAAAAACGATGGAAACGGGCAAACCTCTGCCCAAAAATGTAAAAGCGAAAAAACTTAGCGATTTACGAGGTGACGAAGATGATCTCTCATCTGAAAAAGGAGCTGATGAGCGACCACTTGAACAAAGAGCTGCAAAAGATGATGATGGCAGCAACTCGGATTCAGATTGGACGAGTTCAAGTGATAATTCAACAACCTCAGAAGATTCTGGAGTAAACGATCTCTCAGAACAAGAGGACCTGCTCGATCTCGATGAAGATGACGAGGTCGATGAAGAAAAGGAGCAGGAGATCAAAGTAAGAAGAACGAAGGTGCAACGGATGAGATTAAACCGAGAGACCATCAGAGTCTACAGTGATCAACGGATCTTCCTGAAACCATCTGTTTGCACGCGTGTCAAAGTGAAGATGGCACGATTTGTACCAGCTAACGAGAAGCTGATGTTCACACCCGTCTTCCAAGTGGAAACAGATGTCCAACCGTTAGCCGGAGTGACAGATCATAAAGGAAAGCACTTTGATCTGGTTATTGCTAATCATAGCATTAAACGGCAAGTTGTCAAAAAAGGACAGTTCCTCGGCTATGTGGAGCCCTATGATCACATGGAGAACGTCCAGGTCAATAGTGGCACAGTAAGGAACGTACTCTCCGACCCAACAGTTGACGATGTAACGAAAGCCGAGCTGACAAAGATCATTGGTAACCTGAAACTGGGACCTGACCTGACACAGGAACAGAAGAACGATGTGTATAACGCATTCTGGGAATTCTGGAAGGTGCTT